GCTTCCCACTACAGTTAATATTCAGCATATCATCACTTTCATCTGCTGTGTTCTTTTGTTCTTTTTCTCCTCTGCTTTAACCTTTGCCGTCGCTGGGAGAAAAACAAAAGAAAGTGCACGGTGACACCGTGGTGCTTCGTAAAATTTCCTTTCAGGCAGGAAATTAAAGTTTACAGCTGTCTGCGGTGGTGTGGAGGGTTTTTGTGTGAAAGCCAAGAAAAACAAAAAGCAATTTTGATGAATGAAGTTGGACCTAAAATCTTGATATGTCTCATCTGCTGACTTTCTAATAGTAAAACTCGTATTACCACAAAGCTCTTCCTATTTGGGTACAATGGAAGAGCATATTAGATTTGATTACATCATTTCCCAGTGAAGAAAGAGACCAAACCTCTGAAAACTACATTAACACGAGGACACAGAAAGAAGTGTAATTCATCACAGCACCCAGAGTATTAGAGTTCAAAGTGACATGTAATTTAAAGCTGAACAAACATCTCAGTGTAACACAACCTGTGGTTTTGCAGCTATTACCAGCTCTTCAGTGAAACAGTAGATGGTATCACAGAGATGCAGGGTTTTAGTTTCTCGAACTTGCTGGACTGGCCAAATATGGGAATTAAGCAAGTTGCCTTTATTGACCCTTTGGTTTCACATTACAGCCTGAAATGAGATCATTGCAAAGAAAGAAACTCTGATCAATGCCTCGGCCCTGCAATGAAATTAATAACAGTCATGGCTGTATTGACAAATCCTTTGGCAGATAAGGATTCCAGGGAGAGGGTCTCGAGAAAATGCACTTATTCATGCAGTGAAGTATTTATTTTTCCTGCATAAAGTTTTCTATCTCCTTGTGCAAACTTTAGTAATTTGTATGACATCAGAAAATAATGCACTCAGCCATACAGTGATTGTACTGTACTCTGCTGATTCCAAAGGATTTTCTGAGGATCGAAAAAAATAACAAAACAAACTTAACACAATTGATAAATGATAGTACAAAGAAGCAGATATGACTGTTTCTTGGAAATAAAGATTTATTCTGAGGTAATTTCTGATAAGTCTATGTCAAAAGCTTAGGGGTAGGTTAAGGTGGCGTATGAGTCTGGTATATACAGGAGGAGTAGAGGAGCACCTCCCTCCACTATAGTCACTCTGTGTAATGTGAAGATCCTAGTCCCTGAGTTCTGCGTGTCAATATGGCATTTTGCTTCCAGAACAACAAGTATTACAAGTATTATACTTAGCCATAATGACTTATGACAAAATAAATATGACCAGTGACCTCCAATCCCTGGTAAAGGGGTTTACACTATTTTCGTATTATTATTGATCTCTGAATAATCACAGTGTGTCTGTGGATTATTCACCATTAATTTAGAGGTGAATAAACCTTTTTCTGTGTATTCTAGAACAGAAAGACAAGTAACAGCAGGTACTCTTGTTCAAATTAAACCTATTCCACTCACTGAATTGCTAACTAGAAATAGACCAAATTAAAAATAGACCATTAATAGATCATAGATTAATAGGGTCACCCCCTGCCCCTGGGTGCACCACTTTCTACATGCATTATCAGCTTTAGGACTTGAATGTGTTGTTTATGTCAAAACGTCCACACCTGTAACCGAGGTGTGACCAGTGGTGCTGTATGGGGGCCACTGGTAAAATATTCCTATGAGGCATTTCTTGTAGTGGGCCTCAGCCCTCCATCAAATAGTAAACTCTGCACAGTATGTAGAATTATTTTCATGCCTTTAAGTGTGTTACTGAAGGGCCAAGAACTTTTCGCAGAATCCGTGGTTGTGACCTATGTTGGTGCTAAATTAATCAAAAACCAGGTCCATAATTCCATAATGTCTAGACTAAATTGCCCATGTGTTGATAAATAGCAACAGGTAAACTATATGACCCGAACAATGGGCCCTGTTCAATCCCGTGCCTATTTTGTGCTGCATAATTATGAAGCGCTTCATTAATTTCTCCCTAAAAACAGCCATTAACAACATACAGAGATTAATCCTCCAAATTCTAAAGTTAATAAATAAAAGCTTTACATTTGAAACTTCAGCACTAAATTCTGACTCTCCTTTTCACTGCTCACCTTCAGTTTGTTGTTTTGTTTGCAGGAAAAAAACAAACAAACTTAAATGCAGTCATCAATTTCAATCAGCATGCTGCCTGAAGTCCATTGTGTTCACCGTTTCATCTCCTTCAATTACCGCAGCCAATTGGCCTGAAAGTCAAATGAAGCAGTTCATTCTTAATCAGCATTATGAGAGAGTGTGTGGTGTCCACCGGTCACATTAACTCATTTGTTATCCCTGCTGATATACCGTTTGAAGGGGAGATGTGTTTAATGGTACCTGCCGCAGATTTATTCCTCGGGATGCTACGTGTTTGTTAGTATTGCACGGCACGTCTTGGCGTTCCACAAACAATGAATAACAAAGAGGGCTCAAGGAAATTTCTTTTACGGGAAGCAACAAGAGCAAAGACACTCCTCGTATCCAAGGTCTGTCTGAGAAATAAATAAATTACCCCCCGTGCTTCTTCAAAACCAAACAGCTGTCAAAAAGTCACTCGGGAGTGTGTGCACACACGCAGAAACACACGCACACAAAACTTCCTCTTCCCCTCTTGGATATAAAACACTGACAAGATAATTCTTAAGTTGTGTTTCAGTCATTTTTATTAAAAACATACTTTCAATTTTCTTTTTGACATATAAAAATCCAATAATAGAAATAGACTCCCTGGTGCTGCCTGTCTTATAATGTAGTTGTCACAAATCCAAGCTCCTATTTAGCCTTAGCATTTATCTGTGATCTCATTTTGACACACAGCTGAAAACAATAAAAATGTCTTTGTTTTAATCATGCATCATAATCATAGTCTACCTGCCCTAAATACAAGCAGCTAACTGAGAATAAGTACATAATTATTATACAAACATTTTAACTTTCTTGCAAAAGAATGATTTCTTTAGTAAGTTTAATTTATGTGTCAGTGCAGCCGAGAGAATTAAAAAAGATGAGATAAGAATGGAACTGAGAGGCCTTGAAGATAACACCGTGCTGCTGTCAATACCTGTGTTTACAACCATCACAAATATTTAAAAAAAACAGCTTTTAAAATTTGCATGAAATCTAAGTAAAAAAAAACAGGGTGTGCTTTTAAAATTTGCATGAAATCTAAGTATAAATTATGTGTATAAGAGAATTTAGAGGATGTCAACGTGTCAATGACACACACACAGTCCTTAAATCTGAATTACAAATCTTAAAACATAGCCTTTTAATCTCAATTTAAATATCAGTTATATTTATGTATAATTAATAATTATGATTTTTTTTCTAAACACCTGAATTAGCTTATAATTTAAATCGAACTGCACTTTTATTCGTACACTTTCAGTGTTGAGCTGTATATGTGTACTGTGTGTTTCAGGCTGTATTGATACTCCAGGCTGCTCCTTTTTCAATGTACGTAGTTTGTCCCAAAAAAAACAGCTCCACTGACTTGTACCTTGTTATTTTCTTGTATTTCGACTGTTGGAATGTGGCCCTCTGCATCTGATTACCTTGACAGAAATCATGATTCTTGTCAATGTTGACAGAAAACCAGTGTTTACATTTCTCGAATCCAGACATGACCTGACAGGCAACAACCACGGGTCACCACCCGGGAGATCACTCCTTGTCACGTAGATTTAATATGAAAAACAAAAAACATTATTGTTTTTTATTATTATTTTTCAGACCTTTCAATCGCTACAAAACATTAAATCATGAAAGGAAATCTCCAGATCCCTCTCACCTTGTTCGTCACAAACCAGTTTTTCAGTTATTGTACAGCAAGTCAGTACGTTTAATATAGCACTTTCAATGAAAAAAAGCAGTGATGTTTTCTTCATTATCTTGACTAAAAACATATCAATACAATATTTTAAAAAACAACCAGTTTTGTAAGTAGCATTGTTTACCTTGTGAAACCTCTCACCTATACAACAACTGTCACCATGTATTCACTAAGAATGTTTGGCCTGAGTTTTATAAAAAGAAACTTTGTGCTCAGGGTCACATCAATAGTCAAAAGACCTGTTGTGTAGGATCCTTCAGTATTGTGCTTTCGGTTAAATAAAATGTCATTTTAAACCAGGTCATGACACAACCATGAACAAATGCAACAGTTCTTAGTTTTGTGCACAACATGATTGTTTTTTGTTTTGTTTTAATTAAAAAATGCTTTATTCAAGTTCTTTGTGACCAAACTTTCCATCACTTGAATAGATTTGCTTGTTGTACAGGATAAGAATACAATTTGTGAAGGAGAGCTCAGCCCTTCAGTTCATTTTTTTTTTACCTGATTACATCCCCTTTGCCAACAGGCTCATGTCTGAAAGGTCACACTGACTTGACATCACCCCACTGTCTTCACTACATCTTACTATTTGGCACTAAATCGCTCCGTTCCTCACATCCAGTCTGACAGCATCGCTTTCATTTGACATAAAAATGACTGCAGGCTCCCCGGCGCTTCACACCTCCAATTAATGAAGTCACCATACCATGTAAATCTGGGTAATGTAGAAGGATGGCACGTCTGAAATAATCATTGTGTAACTGCATTACGGTGCATGAAGAATGGCAGTCATTTGAGTTGAAAGGTCTCACTGCGGCTGAAATCCACTAAAACCCAAGAATGACTCAACAGAGTGAGATTTATATGTTCTTTTATTTTAACTTTCATTCCTTCATTCAAAGGATTGAAATAAATCAGAAAATAAACACTGCCTCTGTACTGAGTGGAAGGCAGCAGGGCAGACGAATAGTGACATCGAGTGTTAAAAATGTAACGTGAATATGTTAAAAAATGGATTTGAAAATATATCATGTTTAAGCTAAATGTATAGGGACTTCAGCCTCTTCAGTTCTGGCCCTCTATTAAAGGGATAAATCACTGATCTAACTTTGCTTGGCTGTGTTCAAACCCTCAAGGTTAAAACGAGTGATGGACTACAGATGTCGGCATTTAAACCTGGGGCACAGAGAATGCAGAAAATGAGCCTGGTGTCCACACGTTCACACACTGCCCCCAGTGGCTGCCGGGAAAACCTGAGGCAAATCTTCTGATGCTGTTATTTAAGGCAAGTGATTTTTAAATATTTTTCTTGTGTTGTTATTCCTGTTTTGGTGGTTGATGTTTGAGTTATTCTTTACCAACATATCCTTAATGAGTTTACTAGTGAAAAGTCAGAAAAAAGATGAGAAAATATTCGTCATTCATATGGGAGAATAAAAAGTTGTAATATTTAAAAGAAAGGGCTAAAGTCAGAAAAAAGATGAGAAAACATTCGTATTCATATGGGAGACTAAAAAGTTGTAATATTTAAAAGAAAGGAAGTTATTGGTAGTGGCGCTTTGGCCCAGAGGCAATGTCTCTGTCATTGGTGTGGAACCCCAGGGTTCACCTCCTGGACAAGTTCGAATCCCGGTTAGGGCGGTTAATACCTTTCAGTGGACTCACCACCCGCAGGAAGGTTTGGGGGGGTTGGTATGGTGCAATGTGATCTGGGTGGCGACTGCTGCCCCCGCGACCCGGTAACGGATAAGCGGATGAAAATGGATGGATGGATGGATGGAAGTTATTGGTTGCAGACACATTAGAATTTCTTTTGTGGTATTCTTGCTCTGCTCCTCTGGGCAGAAGCATTTGTTCAAAACTAAACATGTTTGATTAAACAAAATTTAGAGTATATATATATATGTTTTTATACTCTCGCCACACACACAAATATACATATACAACTATACATATATATATTTATATACATATATATTTATATATATATGTATAACATATTTTGTATGTGTTTATACAATGATCTTTAATGTCAACTAATTGAAATACTGTGCACTTGTTTTTCAAATGGATAAGTCAGTATTGATTTGCTAAAAGGTTTGTTGTAAATTCCTGCTTCATGAGGTGGTTAGAAAAAAAAATTCCAGAGTGTTTGTCACGACCATTAAACCAGGTTTTCTTTTTACATAGAGTTATTTATTGCAGAATGAAGATGTTTTTTGTAAACGAATCACTCTGAATGCTGGACCACAACGGTAGATTATTAACCAATTCTAATTTCCTTCTTTGCTGATTCTCTCCAAATTTCCACACATTGTCCTTTCTTTTTTCATATCTCATAAACTTAAGCAGCCATTTAAATTGAGTCCCTGGGCAAAAGCTATTTTCACTCATGAGATAAGTTTTAGGTTGGACTTCTCTTGGACCATCTCTCATTATTATCTCTAAGTTGGGTTAATGAACATTTTGTATTCACCCGACCACCAAACCTGTTATCCTGATGAGGAATACATTTATACACTGAAAAAAAGGCGCCTTCACTCCTATCTTTACCCAGATACAGCACAGCACAGCCCGCAGCACTAGGCACTTCTCCAGTGCCACTCAGCGGTGCCGTTTTCTTTACTGCTCTGCTGTGAGTCTTCTAAGAGAAGGTGGACCCGTGCTATAGTTTCTCTCGATTTTTTGGTAGGAACTGGTGAGCGGGTCATGGGGGGAGAGGCTTCATGAATTATGGATTGCTCCCCTCGGTTTTGTCCGTTTCATGGGTTTAGGGCCGTCATGTGGAAATAAAGTTTCCATTTAAATTTCAGATATGAGCTGGAAGGTGGCAGCCTGGGTTGTCGAGCTCTCTCTGAGTTTTGTCCTTTTCACACACTTTGCTCCCTGTAATATATCCCCTGCAGAGAAACAGTGATTACCAAATCAACAGTGAGGTTTCAATTGAAGCATTGCACCAAATGGGTTTTTCTAACGCCACTATGGCATGACTTATGTTGTTTGTAAAACAGATGAGCACATTTGTTGCGCGGCGCGTTGCAAGTCAGTTACAGAGCATAACAAAATGCAAAATATCCGTACACAGAATAATAAACACTGACATTTTATCCATTTATTTATTTTTTTACTTTTGTAGGAAAACACATTTATTTATCTATTAAGTTTGAGTTATGTATTTTGGTCTGTAGCCGTTAATTAAACCTGCAGTTCAGGATAAATCACTAAATTCTGTTTTCAGAGTTTTCTCACAAGTTTTTGTACAAAGCAAATAATTCCCAACATGAATATTTGTACATGTTTTTACTTTCTGTTTAAACATTAATTCATCAAGTGTGCTGACCTTTTTGTAGTCAGATGAGATGTATTCAGACTCTCTTGGACATTTCAAGGACGTAGCCTGTTTTTAGAGACATGAGTGACATAGTAGTCAAAGAAAAACCTCCACACAGCAAAAAACAATAGTGGCAGTACAGTGTTAGTGGAATGTTTCCATGCACTTAACACATGCGATCTGTTAATATTGGTGAAGGCTGTAAAGGCACCACCAAGTAACCTGGAGTAAAATTGGATCTAGGTAATTGTTCCACCTTCAGACATGTCAAATACAACCTCAAAAGTTGTAAAGAATTATCACCAGAAGGACAACATGAATGTTATTAACTGGTTTTGTATCAAATCCTCATCTTAATCACACAGAACAACCTCTGAAGTCTTCTAAAGAACAAGCTCCAAGCCAATAGACCATTCGATCTACAGACCCTTAAGGGATTCCTAACCAGAACTGGCTGGAATGCTTCTGAAAACTCACAAAAAACTTGATAGGAACTACCCAAAATCAAAGCTGTGTATCATTCAGCAGAGAAGTGTAATCTTGTCGTGTTTTGTACTTTTGGGTGGGGGCGTTTATCCAGGTCAAAAAAGATCCTGTTCAGTCTGTTAGCAGACTCAGTAGCCTATTGCTGTATTTTAAAGACAAGTTTCTCACTTCGATCTTTTCTTTGAGACATCTGTAATCCTCAACCATTCTCATCTATTTTGGTACATTTCTTTTGCAACTCCTCCATCTGTTACAAACATTATTTTCTTTTGGGCCCATGCTGTTGCTTTTCCACTAATTCATCTTTACAGCTAACAAACCAGTGTGGTTTAATGTGCCAGCATATGTTGTGCACTCTGATCTGAACTCTCTGAATTTATACAGCACTAATTAATACTTAATCATCAGCCCAACAACAGTTATTTGCCTTATTTTCTTATTTATTTATTTTTTGCCACGCTGAATCCAGTTTTTATTACCTGACATATGACATTTCCGCTCCAGCGTCTGTGTATAATAAATTAGCATGGGCAAAAATTACATTTCCATGGTCGGCCAAATGGATGAGAAGAAAAATAAATCGATGTAGAAATTGTGAGGAAGAGAAAGTTTAAAAAAATTCAAATAAAGTGAAAAAAGTTGTGGTACATCAATCGTCTGGGCCAGCTGTCGGAGGTGACATTTCATTAGTACACTTTGTCAATAGAGAAACCGTCTGAGCGGCTGGGTGCCAGTAACGAGGAAGGGTCGGGTAAGAGAGGCTCGGAAAAAGAGAAAACCTATAAGGACTAAAAAAGGAGTGAGTTCTTTTTCATTAAATCTCCCCTGATTCCAGCCACTGGGAATGACTAAAACTCAAGATGCGGTGAAAGAAAAGGTGGGTGTCCCTCTTCCATCTTTAAGACTCAATCAATCATCCCCCTTTCGCTTTTTATCCCCCGCTGATGTGGCATCGCCCACATCACTCCCTGCCTGTTCATGGTCCAAGAAAGATGCCGTTCCTCCCTTCTCTCCTCCAGCCCAGTGGCAGATACGTTTGAAGCAAAATCACCAGCATAACGACTCCTGCCATTTCCCATAACGTCCTCATCCATCAATTAAGAGGTTTGCAGTAAGTGGGAGATGAATATGGCAGAATAAGGCCAGACTTTTTGATGACTCTAGCACAAAGGCAACAGAGACCCCCCTCTATTACTCCAGTATAGGCCCATAATCACAGCAGTGGCTGTGGGCAGCGGAAGGCAGGAAGGATGTTGTCAGGCACAAAGACACACTGACCAATAATGCTATGATTATGGGCAGTCCTGCACATGGTAAAGTTGACAGCAAAACCAAATCTACCTTAAAACAGCTATTTTTAATTATTAAAAAAAAACAATTAGTTCATTAATAATAGGACTGTGGAGTGTGTTTTGTTTTTTTTTGTTTGTTTCTTTTAAAAAAGGGAGAACAACTAAAAATTGGACCAGGGTGGGTAAATGGTAGCTAATTGTCTACAGGTCAGATTGAAGATTCCAAAATTATGCTGGAAGTAATAAAGGGGAAAAAAATAGCTAGCATTAAGACCTGAAAAAACGCTAAGCCAAAAATATTTTCTAAATAACAAAATAATATTGGAAGTGCACCCAAAATTAGAAAATAAAAAGGAAATATACAGTATAGCTGTACGTGCCGAAAAGACATGTTACGTACAGTAAAGAAAAAGTTGATCAACTGTGACCAAGAAATTATTCAAAAGTGAACATTTCTCACACTAGCCACATTAATTCCAAACACTGTTCAGCCTTTTTCAGTCACAGTAGGTTCCATACAACGTCTGCACCATTCTAACACCCACTTATGTAAACCACAGCCAGATCAAAATTTTAAGCAGCCATTCTTATTATTCCAACCCTACGCTGCACACTTAGCACAAAGTCCCTCAGCATTTCAGCAGTCACCACTCCAACAACTGATCGACCTCGGCTTCCTAAACTGCCTGCACTCTGAAGCTCCAAAGATGCATATCAGAGGCAGCAAGGGGGTGAGAGTTGTCAGTGTGCAGTCCTTTCAAATGATGAGGGTAGAAACTGGAGGCTCTGAATGTGTCAGAGCAACATTTCCACATCCAGACGAAGTGGCACAAAACGTCTAGTTCTTGTTTAGGAAGAGAGTTTACTGCTAATATGCCGGTTTTCATTGGTTAACAGTAGTTTATCTTAGATGATTGAATCGTTAAAGACTTGACTTCTTATTTATGACAAATGACCACATTCTGTTTGTTTAATCTTCCTTCATGCTCTTTATGCAGACCACCTCTGTCCCTCTTTTTATACACAGTCTATGAATTGTTTCTAAAGTGTTCTTTGAGCTTTACCTACTCTGTGAACCACCAGATGTTACATTTGAGACAGCTGACCACATTCTAATTTCTGTCTGTTGTACCCTTGACGTGTTCAAGATATAAAATGTATTTTAGATTACG